ACGCTAAATGTACATTTAAATTATATTTCCTTCAGGGAATATTCCAGAAACGATGTAGGAAATTGTTCTACTTCTGACTAGAGAAAGACAGTATCATCATTTCTGTATCGAAAACATTTTCGTACACAAAAATTATTGTCTTTGAGTTGAGAATAAAACCTAATAAACGCGAACATTTATGTAACTAAAAATTTGGAGACTTTTCGTGTTCATCCGAAAAAAACAAAAACAAATGCATCCGTTGATGGTTCCGGTGGCATCTGAACAATGACAATAATGGGCACCGCCGCTTCCAATGGCTGCTGGTCCATGTTCTCCAGCGGCATTTCTGACTCTCCCTCGGGAAGAGCTCCTTCGGCCTGATTTTCTGGCCCATTTTCATCCAATTGTTCTTGTACAGGTTCATCCAGATTTATTTCTGGAGGCTCCATTGACACATTAAGTTCATCCGTAGACATACGATTTTTCTCGCCCTCACTCTCACTGTCGCCCTTGCCCACGATTTTCTCTTTTTTGAGTTTTTCCTCTTCCTTTGGTTCACCATTCTTGGTGGCTGGTTCTAGGGCTGTGGCCGCGACTGAGACTGAGTCTGCGTCTGCTTTTGTTGACTGCTCCTTCGATTCTTGCTGAAGTTTTGCCTGCTTGGCTGGTGGCGACAGCTCCTGGCCAGCGGGATCCGGCTGGGCGCGCCTCTTGCGTCCCGTGTGTGATTTGCGTCCAGAAACTTCACTGGCCGAATAGTTGTTATGGTTGTTGGTGCCGAAATCGCAGCCGTGGCATTTCCACTGGCTCTCGCCAAGACTAGAGGCGGCCAACGGCGGATCATGGCAATCGCGGTGGTAGGAATATACGCACTCAGAGCAGATGGCCAGATCTTTGCCCTTAGTACCGCAAACGCGGCAGTAGCGGCAAGCCGGGCACTTGTACTTCTTGCGTGCAACGGCCAGGACATCCAATTTGAGCGGAAGGCAGTTAAAATGCCCTGGAAATGCATAAAAAAATACATAGATGTGGGAAAGTGTGCAGGCGAGCATTGAGTTGGATGGCGGGGGCACTTACATTTTTGCTGGCAACTCTTGCATGCGAGAAAATTACTCTTGTGACCAGAGCCACGCTTCACTTCCATTTTGCTGCACTTTTGGCACACATCGAACCGACGAGGCGGCTGGCCTGGCTGACCGAATTCCACATCTTGGGCATCACTAGTGGCGCCTACTTCTGGCTTGGGCACAGCCTCCGCCACAGGCGGTGTAACTGGCGCTGGCACTGCAGCTGGGGCTCGGGCTGGAGCCGGCAAGTGCAACGCTGCACAGTGGCATTCGCTGGCGTGGAGTTGTGAACGGCAGCAGCCGCTGAGGCGGTGACTACAGTTGCAGCAGCATCGTTGCTGTTGCTGCCAGTTCTTGAATTCAAGTTGATTGGGGCACTAGCGCTCTCATCTTTGTCCTCGTGCTTGGAACGCTGCATTTCGCCGGAAAATTGCTTTAAAAGTTTAAAAGTTGCTCAGTGTAACCGTTTGTGTTTAAGGAAAATACCAGCTTGTGATTTGTTCCACTAGCCTGACGTAGTTATCCCCGAAATACTTTTAAATTTTATCTGGGAGTAAAGTTGGAGAAAAGCCTATTGCGGGATAATATCTAATGTAGAATGTTCATTTGACACATACTGTTGAATCATTTACTTGAATGCGTAAGGGAATTTTTTCATACGCGCTAGTGCATTTGGGGTGTTCGTACGTATGATCTCAAAATGAAATATAATCATGCCCCTATTGCGTTTTGATGATATTTGCATATTCTGCACGCATCCTGATGCTGGAGCATCGACGAGTCCAATGCCATACAACGCGATAAGAAAAATATACTCTAAATAAATTGCTAGGCTAGCTAAATTTGAATGTATTAAAATATTATTTATAAAGCCAGCTATGAGGCGATCGATCTTGTGGGGGAGGGAGAGCAGTTTGAGGTATTGCTTAGCCAAATTGAAATGGCCAAACATCTACATGGCCCAGGCCATGAACAGCTGCCGAGCTAGAGCACCCCAAAAGTATTTTAACAAAGCTCAAGACATTTGTTACCACAGCGAATAAAATGAAACATAGAAATGTCAAATAAATCGTTAGTTATTAATTCAAGCCAACAAATGTAAATACCTGTTTCCCTTAGGGAATACATATATTTAAAACTTATTTAAAACCATTCACTAACTGCAAAATCACGTCCGAAATGCTCTCCATTGAATGGTGGTGAGTGCCGTTAGATATTCGTTTCCCCCAACGCTCGTCTATTCTCTTTTGGCCAAGTCCTGGCTCATGCATAGTTTAAATCACGTCAAAAAAATCCTATCCATGGAGCGTGGCAGGCCCTTTCGGACCGGAAGTTGCGCGCCAACAGGAAGTGGCCCAAACTGAGAAAGAGTCTTTGACAATGCCCTATGGGAAATTTGACCACTTTTTGTGACAATAATTAATTCCAAACGAAACAATATTTTTATACCCGTACTCAAAAAATAGTTAAGGGGTATATTAGATTTGTGGTAAAAGTGGATGTGTGTAACGCAGAGAAGGAAACGTTTCCGACCCCATAAAGTATATATATTCTTGATCAGCATCAATAGCCGAGTCGATATAGCCATGTCTGTCTGTCCGTCTGTCCGTCTGTCTGTCTTGTTGAGCGCCTAGATCTCAGAGACTATAAGAGCTAGGGCAACCAAATTTGGTTTCCAGACTCATGTGATATCCCACTGCTACAAGTGTATTTCAAAATTTCGCCCCGCCCCCTTCCGCCCACACAAAGGACGAAAATAATTATAGCCAGAATGAAGAAATTAATTTTCAGTTGCTTCCCCTCCCCCTCCCGTTCCAGACAACGCAACTCATTTTCCTTCTCGCTCGCACACTCTGCCGCGTTCAGTGCGCGAGCAACCCCTAGCGAAGGAGATGTAGAATATGAATGGAACATGTACAATCTACATGTTAGATGTAGAATAGACATTGTATATGTAGATGTAGATAGCAGATGTAGCAAAAAAATGTAAAATGAAAATTTTTTTTTTTTCCTAAAATTCTAAAAAATCATAAGCTCAATAATGTATATACTGACTGAGTACGGGTATAAGTAGAGTCGTGTCCCCAGAAACGACTCACACGTTCCTTCTCGTTTGGTTTAGTTTTTTGATATGAGTTTATAATAGCAAAATGAAGTTTTTTTGAAAAAATGGGCGTGGCAACTCCTTTTTTTATAAAGAAATAACATTTTTTTTTTGCTTTAAAGGCAAAAAAACAAACATGTTGAGAACATTTTATTTTATTCAAGAGAGCGTGGCACGCCTTTAAAACAATTTTAAAAAAGTACAAATTATTATTTTTTGTAGCTTTTTCACAAACATTTTTATCAGGAGACCTGAAATATAAAAGAATATATAAAAATAAATATAAAAGAAAAGAAATACAATTTTATTGTAAATAATAGGTTTCCTATCACACCTTTTGTTAATCCTCATAGAGTTCGTTTTCGAGCTCCATCATCCACGAGAATTCGAGTTGATCTTTAGCCAGCTCATCGAAACTACTCTGTTCCGGTGGATCTCTGCCTGAACAATTGAACTCGCTTGATAAAAGACCGAACACCTCAGTTCGAAGGGGTTATTTTCTGCATTTGTATGCTGCTTTCAAAGTTAACAGATGAGATAATAGTATTTCACGTCCGTGAAATTTTCTTTTCGGCCTCATTGTAAATATCAAATTTTATAAATTCTATTTCGACACTTGGCACCCTCTTCTGCAAAATATCCCACAGGAAGAATCTTGTTTTCTTTTATTTCGCTTGAATGCACAAGGATTTTGTGAACTGTCGCAGTGATTGACAACCAACGATATCGGTCAATATCACTTCTCGACAAAGTCGAACTTTTTTTGGTATGTTTTGTAATGCTTTTTTCAGAGGTAGCTCTTTTATTTTGCACATTACCTAAGTTTCTTACATTTGGTTTCAATGAAGTTTGACATTCTGAAAAGCTGATAAATGCATCTATAAAGCAGACCTGAGCACCTTGTAGCTTCAGCTTACCGTCTGGGAAATATTAAGCTTTCAAATGCAAAATTGATCGGTTTTTCTCAGTACTTTTTTCAAAATTTTGACTTTCAAATCTCAAGAAAAGACGAAAACAAATCGTACCCTATGTTCTTATATTTTTTGTGTGTAGATGCATCAATTAGGCGTCGATCAAAGTATTGTTCATAAAAATCGAAGGAGAAATGACTCAGGTAAAATTGGTTGACCAACCCTCCAAAAATCACATTTGTAATGGTTAACCCACTGTGTAGGCAAGATGACACTCTTAACTATTGGACGGCACGCTAATTCATTTTTTTCCGGCTGCTGGCTCGTCGGCTACGAGTGTGGTGTTCTTCTGTCCAAAGCTAAGGCCTACCCTATTATTAATTTAAAATTGTAAAGCGTGCACAATAACTAAGCCATTAATAACCGGACGGAAAGCACAACACCTAAAACGAAAGACAATAACTACACTTGGGAAAACGGACAACATTCCTCTGATGTATTTGAGGAACACTTCCTCCACCCTACCTTGGTCTTGTATGTGCCATTTCACCGAATCTTTACAAGACCCCTTTATGTTTGAGGGGCCTACAGGGGCATTCCGCTGGAGATCAATCTATATTGTATTACTCACTAATAATAATTTATTTAATACTAAAACTCTAACATTTCACTCTCTACCCTTTCAAATAATCCCGTAATGTTTTCCCCCAGGTTACTAAATATAAATTAATTACCAATAAATACAAATATTCAGACTTAAATAACTAGAGAAAAATATATTAAAGGTAAAGAAATTAAAGGTAGAAAATAAAACAGAAACTCAAATGGGCATGAGCCATTGGCATCAGAAAGAGAGGGACGGTATGCGGGTAAAAGAAACAGAATAAAAATGCTTATGTGCATATGTATACTATATTTGAATACCCTTTAATTTTCGGGTGTGTGCATGCGAAAGAGATGTCATGCCCTTTGGTGGCTCTCTTTTGAGCCTTGGCCAACAAATGCATAAATTGTGGACGCCAATAAAATTAAATACTACAAAAATTACTTACAACAGACCTCCTCGATGAAGCGCTTCCGATTTAGTCACTGTAAATCAAAAACAAACAAAAAAAACAAAGAAACACACACAGTTCGCATGATTTGCTCTTCTCTCTTCTGATCACCGGTACTTTCGGATTACCGGTGCCTGAGGGCTCGGCCTCAGCAGCGAAGGCAGAGAGAAGCAGAGAGATATAGAGATAGAAAGAATAGGTGAATAAAACGGGAGATAGAACGAAACTGGCTTAAGAAAGAAAAAATCCGGAAGGTATGTGAGATGACCACAGCCCTACAAAATGTTCAGGCAATTTTGACATTTGCTAGACTGTAACCACGTCTCCTTCTCCCCGTCCCACACGAAAGCGATGCCGCGGTTCGCGTTGAAGCGGCTGCCGTCTGCCGGGTACTATTTACTCCCTTCTTCTGCTGATCGCAATTCGGTCCCAAGCGAGGGCCAAAGCTCCGGCGAATTCGCTGCTCCAGCTGGCTCGATGTGGCTGACGAGCCTCCTCCAAGCACATGCCTACATACATACATATGTATAATTTTTCTGTAGCTTGCCTAGCTGCTGCTAGCTCTCGCCCTGCTTACCCGAACGGCTGCTCCGTAGAAAGTTGACCTGTTGTCCGATGGTGCGGTATATGGCCTCCAAGTAGTATATGGGTATTATATGTACGTATATTTCACTGGCACTTGAGAAAGATTTTCAACTTGGACAAATTTTTTTTTTCCCACTATAATACGCTATCTATGCAGATCTCGATGGGAAATGACATAATGGCGTCCTGATGCCCTCTATTTAATACCTTCTCTTTCTTCGAAATTCGCCTTCGAACCCCCGCTCTCATTCTCTCAGCTCCCGTTGACCTGTCTAAGCAGTCTCCGTGCATTCTCTTCTCTTGCTTGCCACCCTCCATCAGCTAACAAAGAGAATTATCAGCAGCGTTTGACTGGCAGTGCCTAATTTTCGGCGGAACAGCTACAAACCTCACCGTACACATTTTACCGTTTTATACGTTGCTGCAGTCCTAATGTTTTTGTCTAAGAATTAAGAATTAAACACGCGCAGATAACCATGATATACATTTGAACAAAAATTCAATTCTCTACAAGATGCATAACGTCATATGGCTCCACGAGTGGTCACTTTTTTTGTTCGCCTCTTCAAAGACACATTTTGGTCATAAATTTATACTTGTTAAAAATGAGTCATTAAACATAATTATGAGTGAAATTTTTACAGTTCAAACTCATAAACATATATTACATACCTGTCTGAAACAAACAAAAGTTTCATTTGTATTAACACAATTGAAGAATAGCCTTATAGCACGAGAGCACCCCATAGCTATCGAGTAACATAATGTGAACTATCGATAGCCCATCGCGGACCAGCGATCGATACCGGGATCGGGGCCGGCATTCTGTGGAATTAGAGGAACAGCGAGGAGTGAAAAAGAATTAAGAACATTTATTTTTAAATGAGAAACCCAACTAACACGCTATTAAATAAAAAAATTTTTATATAAACGCGTGCTTGCCACTTCTTCTTCATCTGGAGAACCCCATCACAAATTGATGAATTTATAACTTTTTAGCCCTTTATACAAGATGAAACGAGAAGGAACGTGTGAGTCGCTTCTGGGGACGCGACTCTACTTATACCCGTACTCAGTCAGTATATACATTTTTGAGCATATGATTTTTTAGAATTTAAGAATTAAAAAAAAATTTTACATGTTTTTGCTACATCTGTTATCCACATCTACCATGTATATTTTACATCTAACATGTAGATTGTACATGTACCATTTATATTCTACATCTCCTTCGCTAGGGGTTGCTCGCGCACTAAGCGCGTCAGAGTGTGCGAGCGAAAAAGAGAATCAGTAACAAGTTTCATGAAGGGTGAGACGGAGGAAGCAACTGAAAATTAATTTCTTCATTCTGGCTATAATTATGATCCGATCTGATTCAGATTCGGCAGTCTGGTAGATATGGTAATTTTCGTCCTTTGTGGGGGCGGAGCGAAATTTTGCAATACACTTGTAGCAGTGTGATATCACATGAGTCTGGAAACCAAATTTGGTTGCCCTAGCTCTTATAGTCTCTGAGATCTAGGCGCTCAACAAGACGGACAGACAGACAGACAGACAGACGGACAGACAGACATGGCTATATCGACTCGGCTATTGATGCTGATCAAGAATATATATACTTTATGGGGTCGGAAACGTTTCCTTTCTCTGCGTTACACACATCCACTTTTACCACAAATCTAATATACCCCTTAACTATTTTTTGAGTACGGGTATAAAAATAACTTTTTGCACCAACATTCGCCTAGCGATAGCAAACAGCTGACCTTAAAAGCTGTTAATTTAACAGTGGAGCGCACTGTTCACTTTTTTTTGCGTAGCATTAAAGATCAATGTTATTCGGATATATGAGGTCTACAAATATATTATTTTAACTAGTTTTGAAAAATGGGTTTTAGCCAGAAAAAGTGGTAAAATTTCCCATAGTGCATTGCATTAATGTGGAATATTGCAAATAATATTAAATATTAAAAAATCAAATATAACATCAATTTTTACATACATACATATGTACAAAGAACTTATACATATGTATGTAAATTCCTGACAAACAGAAGAAAGCAGGATCTTCGAGCGTACACAAATAGGGGATTCGAATTCACATATCTGTACATATGTACATATTTACATATCCATGCATATACTGCCATATCCATAGCATAATTTTTAGGGCAAATGTATATGAAATTCCCCCCAAAAGCTATGTGTATCGATTAAAATAAATGATAAGCAAAATGCAGTCTTCAGTGAGATTGCCGCTAACGAAAACTGATGGGCTGCCAGACATTTAGCAGACTCCATTATATGCTCTGTCCTGATGCCCTGTACTACCCGAGAACAAAAGGGGGTGTATACACACTCCAGACTAGCACCAGCGCAGCTAATCTATGCTGTTTTTATGGGGCATATTTCTACTTTTGGCAAGCCAAAGCACTCATATCTGCTGTCACATCCACTTGGATAGTTACAATTAGTTCGTTGTCATCGTATTGTTAGCAAAAACACACATCTGAGTGTGAGTATCGGGTAGCTACCAGTCGACACTTCAATTGCAGCGTTTTCAGATGTTTTTATTTCCATTGTTGCGAGAAATCTCAGTCGTCGCCGTGTTTGTCACCATTTGTCACCGTTACCGTTAACCCTCGTCCTCTTTACCGACAAAGTCCCCCCCAATTGGTGGGAGAGTCAGCTTAGTGCCAAGCTCTTCAAACAACAGTTCTAGCTATAACAGCAGCAGCAGCCAATGCGAAAGAGCAGGAACGAGAGTACTTTGCACACAACAAGAAAAAATGTCCACAAACAATAGCAACAACTAAATTAACACTAAAAAAAAGCACAAGAGCAGAAAAAGCAAAACAAAAAAAACAACAGCAGCAACAAGAGCTAGAGTCAAGCACCCAACAACAACAACAACAAACAAAAGAAACAGCAGCAGCAGAGCAACAGCAGTACATCAGCAGCAGAGCAACAACAGCACAGCAGCAGCAGTTAGTGGGAGAGTGGGAAAGCGGAGACGAGACAGCAAGCAATAGCGAGACTTCAGCTGTGCACATTCATACAATAAAAACAATAGGGCAAAGAAATTATATATAAAACTAAAAACAAGACAGAAGACAAGACTCTTCCTAGCATTCAGACCAGTGCTCCGTCTCCATCCTCATCTTCCACCTCTACTTCCACCCATCCAAAAAACTAACTTCCTCTCTTGTAGTTACACTCCCAAATGCTAGAGGCTTCGTAGTAAGCTCAGCACTCTTTTCCTTGAGAGTCTCGCATTCTCATCCCACGTTATTGTGTTCACACGTGCGTTAAAGCCGGACATCCTTAGTTCCGAAGTTTTGGCAGGTCGGTACACAATTTTTAGAAATGACCGTTCGTCTCGACGTGGAGTCCTTATTGCAGTGGACTCAAACTTCACGTCGAAACATTTCATGGTCCAGGTTCAACAAGACCTGGAATTCCTGTGCGTAAAAATGATTCTCCCAGGCTTTTCCATTTTCATTACTTGCTCGTATATTCCACCTTCCTCGGATATCTTAATATACGAGCATCACCTGTCCGCTTTAAAAACTGTTTCTTCCTCGCTATCAGATAAAGACCATATGATAGTTCTTGGTGATTTCAATTTGCCAGGTACTGTTTGGTCTTCGGTAAACGAGTCTAATAACCTAGTGCCCATGTCACGACATGACTTTATCGACGGCTTGCTAGACCTATCCCTGTTTAAGTCAACCATGTGAAAAATTCCTTGGGTCGATTGCTTGATCTGTGCTTTGTCTCGGATCCGACCATAGCATTGTTAACCCGAGCCCTTCCGCTCAGTATACCTGAGTTTTCCTACCATCCTACATTCGAAGTGTCAGTCGATATTGGCCCTGCTGTATTGGATCGAATGGGTAGGCTATCTGAACGTGTCCGCTGCTTTCGTAAAGCCGAGCTTACGAAGCTTAATAACCTTATTAGGGATTTTGATTGGTCCGCTCTGTACTTGTGCACTGACGTTATGAAAGGCACAAACATTTTTTACAATGTACATGACACATTTTTTTATTCTTGTGTCCCCCGTTCTTGTCCGGTTAGATCTGGAAAGCCTCCTTGGCTTACCAAAGAGTTATCCAGTCTAAAAAAATAAAATCAAGACTTTATAAAAAATTTCGAGAAGTTGGTTCTCCCTCTTCTCTTTCTCACTATGTAATAGCTCGGTCATTTCTTTCTTAACGCTCAATGCTATAAGAACTACCCATCTCTGATGCAGGATACGATTTTCACAGGACCCTAAACAGTTTTACAGCTTCGTAAATAGTAAGCGTAGAACGTCCGCACATCCATCCGCGTTATCTTTTCTCAATATGTCAGCAAACAAAGATCAGGCAATTGCCGATATTTTTGCCAAATTTTTCCAAACAACCTATTCTCATGAAAGCTACTCTGGTCAGCCGTATCCATACAGTTTACCAAGGTCGAATAGCATCTTCAGCCCCTTGTTAAATGAAAGCTCACTGCTTCATGATCTTCGACTAGTTAAGCCGGTGTTTTCACCAGGTCCCGACGGAGTACCCGGCTGTGTACTCATGTACTGGGCCGACGCTCTGTGTGGACCCCTGCTTAAACTATTCACCCTATCCATTAACTCTTCATGCTTCCCCCCCATCTGGAAGGAATCTTTTATTATTCCGCTCCATAAGAAAGGTAGCAAGTCTGATGCAAATAATTATAGAGGTATATCTAAGTTATCCGCTATTCCTAAAATGCTTGAAAAAATTTTAACTCCGCATTTGCAACATCTCTGCAAATCACTTATATCTCCGTCCCAGCACGGATTTATAAGGCGACGATCAACAACAACAAATTTATTAGAGTTTACCTCTTATATCATTAAAGGCTTTCAAGGTAACTTGCAGACGGTTGTCATTTACACTGATTTCAGTAAAGCATTCGATTCTGTAAACCATTCCCTTTTAGCACAAAAACTTCACCTTTTAGGGTTTCCGCCTAATCTTTTGAGATGGATTTCTAGCTACCTTCGTTCTAGGTCTCAAAGAGTCCTCTTCAAAAACTCTTCTTCACCTGTTAAGGTTACTTCTGAATACCACAGGCAGCCATCTAGGCCCCCTACTATTCACACTCTTGATTAATGATCTGCCTTCAGTATTAACAAACTCTCGAGTACTCATGTATGCGGATGATATTAAACTTTGTGTCCAGTATAAGGACATTTCATTTCACTCTCACTTGCAATCCGATCTCAATAACTTTCAGTCATGGTGTATGTGTCCACCTAAATGCCTCGAAATGCAAAGTAATGACATTTCATCGCTCCAGCCCCCTTTTGGCTCCTATAGCCTCTGCGGTGGTTCTCTTGAGAGAATTACCTTGGTTGATGATCTTGGTGTTAAATTAGACCCAAAGTTAAAGTTTTCTGAACACATTTCTACCATGGTAAATAAGGCCATGGGTGTGCTTGGGTTTATAAATAGGTGGTCAAAGGTGGACGACCCCTATATAACGAAGACTCCCTACATCTCGCTTGTTCGTCCGATTTTAGAGTATGGCTCTTGTGTATGGTGCCCCCAGTACACCAGGACCGTATAGAATCAGTCCAGAAAAACTTTTTACTTTTTGCTCAGCGTGGCCTTAACTGGGATGCAGGTGTGAGACTGCCATCTTATCCTCGTAGATTGCTTTTAATAAACCTTCCAACCTTAGTTAGTCGTAGAAAAATGCTTGGTGTGATTTTTATGCACAACCTGATCAAGGGTGACGTAGATAGCCCTGACTTGTTGAGCCGCATAAACTTTACGATTCCTATTCGATCTACTAGAAACTTAATTCCTTTGTTCCTTTCGCTTTGTAGATCGAATTATTCCTTGCACGAACCATTTAGGGTCCTTTGCTCGGACCACAATTCCCTCTACCACATAATATCCACTACTAATTCCCTTCCTCTTCTTAAATCACTAATACTAACATACCTTTCCCGTAATTAGTTATATTTCTTAGCTATCTTTGCATGATATGATATGCCATTAATGACTGAGCTGCATATATCGCTAGTCTAAATACACTACTCGGCAAAATTGAACTTTTGATTTAGGCTGTGAACCAAAATGACTTTTTCTGATAGATTTTGGGATTTAAAAATTTTTTTAGTACTTTATTTTTATTTTATTTTATTTTTTTTATGGTGTCATCTTTTTTTTTTAGAATTTTTAAAATCTGTTATTTTATTTTTTTTGTTTTTTGCAAAGGTAGTGCTTCTATTTTTCACAAACCTTAATTAGCTTATATCTGGTCGAATAGAACTGTGTAGTTCTGAAAACAAATGCATAACAAATGACAGCAAATGCAGCTTAAAATCCGACCCAGACCTTTTGTATCTGCATATTAACGCCTGAAAGATATTAAGCTATTAAGCGATCACCTCCATCGACTTAAATTCAATGTGCTTATTGCGATGGCATTCAGATGCTAGACCCACACCTGCGCAGGAGTCCCTGACTCAACGCCCTGCTGCACATTCCGGCGGCAGACGAGCACGAAGGAAACAAGCATCCAACCAACGAGGCAGCAGCCAGCCAGCCAGCCAGTCAGTCAGTCAGCCTGTCAACACACAAATGGCGCCACAAATGTTTTGCCCTTTTTGCCCAATGGAAGGATACATTTGTAACTTCTATTGATTTTTAATGCACGCTTTTGTTGTTCTCCCTCGTTCCGTTCTGTTCGGTTCGGTTGTGTTCTGTTCAGTTCTGTTGGCTGCCAAGGCGTCGTCCGTGCTCAGGACAAGCCACCAAGCCATGAACTTTATGGGGATGCCATCGAGAGACCTCAGACCCTAGACTCAGACTCCGTCTTGGTCGAGGTCTCAACCTTACCCCCTTCAATGGGGATGTGGGTGACGATGCCGTTGCCGGTAAATGTGAGTGTGTGTGTGTGCGCCTGCGAATTTGAATGCTTGTAGCAAGGAAAGAAACAAACATGTTACATCCTCGGCGATGGCATTTCCACTGCTCCACTTGAAAACTTAATGCCCAACGCATGCTTTCACATACATACAAGCATACATACTAGACACATACTCGATTACCCAGCAAAAAAAAACAAACACACACACGGACAGGCAGATAGACAGACAGACAGACAGACAAGAGGGCAAACAACTAGTAGAAGATGCGGCAGGGAGTTACGCCTATGCATTTGCGTATTGCAGATGGTTGCGTGAGGATATGCTTCAATAGGTTTCAGTTATTCCACCCAAGGGAATGACAGCACAGTGGAATAAATCAATGTGATATAAACACAAACTAATTGATAATATATGATCGCTTCCAAAGCTTTGCTTGTGCAAATAAATTTTTATCTGATTCATCTTAATTTGCCAATATATTTTTTGTGTTCTACTTACGGTTCGAGAAGGCGTCAGGGGCCGCGTGAGAAGTGTCAGCATCAGGAGCAGCAGCATCACTGGCACCATCGGCGGCGACTGTACTTGTTGCAGTTTGTTGTTCTGTTGTAGCTTCTCTTGACGATATTGGTTATGCTCCTGTCGTGGGTCCTGGGCAAACGCTACCCAGTTGCAGCGCCATTTTAAACGGATTACTTGTCAATCAGCTGATCGACTCTCCCTTATTGGTAATCGCTTGTTGTGTTCCTCAATCGCCTTTTGCTTATCGCTCGGGAAATTGCTGCAAATGGGCGGAGTAGATTTTTTGATGGACAAAACCGAGTTTTTTGTATAACAAATCAGTGTTCAGTGTGCACAACAGCAAAACAAAAAAAAAAAACAAATTACAAGTACAATTTTACATTTAAATCAGACAATCGAGACATTTGTGCGGCAGCGGCAGCAACAACACAGTTTTAAGTCATAATAAATATTTACACGTCCTGTGTATTGACATGTCAAATTTATTTTCCAGATCCGGGGTGTGAAGGGAGGGGTGCTCATGGTTATGGATACTGCAGCAAGATGGAAATGGAGATGGGGATGGGCAGGGGGTTCCATCAAAGTTTCATTGCCTGGCCGCTGCCGCTGGCAAATTTTTCGGCGTCGTTTGCATTAAGAATTTCGTGTAGCATACTTTGCAGCGCCATATCGTGCTTACGACTTGCCACACCACACACACACACACCGCTCTCGCATAGCCGTCAACTTATGCCGAAAAAGTTTTCAACGTGCCAGCAGCATCAGAGCCGCCGCTACGTGTGACAACGCCGACGACAATGACAGGCCACAAAAACTCACTATCGCTCACTTTCTCGCCAGTGACACAGACACAGACACAGAGAGAAAGTCGTCTCTAGTATGCCCCATGGTGGGGCATGAGAAAGAGTTGGAAATTGGGGTACATTACGGTACATTACGGTACATTACGGTAGATTTGTCAGGCATAAAGTGCATTAATCAGTTTGCTGCTCTCCCACACAACGAGGACAAAATTTTATCGGTGGCCAAATTACATAATCAACTCATCATTTCATTTCGGTTCATATCAAAGGTATATCTTGACTGGAAACCAGTCACAATGCCGTGAAATATTATTTTAGAAGTGTACAATTTTTCGTATATTTTTTGATAACAAAAGAATTTCTTTTTCATATTTCTTTCCAGTGATTTATATACGCAAAATACATAAAAGAAACCACATAAGAGGACAAGTTTTATTCAGATGACTTAACTCATGATAATTATTAATTTGAAGGAATTGTTTAAAGGGTTTGAACTCTTATTTGGCAAAAAGTTCTTGGGAATTAAAAGCATAAAATATTCAGCTGAGACCTACAAAATAATCAATAGTGCAGCTAAGTTTTTTTCATAGCAATGTATGTACAATGTACATATGTATGTATGCTTTTGCCAGCTTAAATAAAATAAAATATTTAGTAAATTGATTTTTGGAATATTTTAAAGTATTTCTGTGGAAATCATTAAGAAGTTGGGTATATTTAAATGCTTTGCTGATCTTAAGAGACAACAAGTGATACAATTTAATGGAGTGTGTACTGATCAGAGACTATAGGAACTAGCCGCAGATCCTTCTTTCCAATATATGTCTGTACATATATTCTTTGTGTATTCTTTGTTTTTCTTGTATATTCGCGATATTCATCTACAAAGTGTGCTCAAAGAAATAACACGAATTTCATGCATTTTTTTGTGAATGCCACAGCTTGTTGAGCATCAGAGGGATACGCGTATTTGAATCACTGGAAGTGGGTAGTTTTTGTTGAAACTTTCTTTGTTGAAATAAATTTTCCACATGAATTTGCGACCACCAATACCACCGATCAAAGTAAAGTTGAATCATTTGCTTAGGGCTCGACGTAGGTCCTACACGCAATCCGTCTTCTTGGGGCACGAGTTAAGCAATCCTCGGCTGCATTAACTCTGCCCACTGCTGCCCTTGGGGCTTGATAGACCGAATTGAAAACGAATTAAAATTAAATTTCAAGCGCTTTGTGCCAAAAGTTTTCGCCTCGCCACACGAACAAAATACTTTGGGAAAGTACTTAAATTTCTTAATTAAATTTAAATTTCTTTTTAAATTAAATTAATTTAATTAAATTAATTAAAAATTAAATTTCTTTTTAAAGATAAACTTGGTTTTTTTTCTTTTATGTTCTTTGCTTCTGATTGTGTGTGTTTATCTCTGTCATAGAGAATGCAATTTCCATTTTGATTGATTTGTTTCCAAGTAAAACACACTGTGGGTTGCGGTTAATGAGATTTGTAGTACAATTTTCGGATATTATATTTGATTATAGTAATTCAATCAAATTAATATGGATTCATATGCTGAATAAACGTAAATGCGTCTAAGAGATTGGTGAAATATCCCTAGAAAATGTATCTATATTTTTTTTTTAGTTTCATTGTGATTTCTGATTGATATTGCTAATCCTTGAAGTGAAAGTTCATCTGTGGATAAAAGCAATTGTAGAGAATTCCCTCAGTCTGTTTATCTACAAATACATATGTATGTACTACATATTATGTACATATGGGATTTTTAGTTAGTTTTTCGTTCTAGTCTAAATTTCTGTTGTGTGTAAAATTTTCAAATTCTTTCTGTCGCAAGCGACGGACCGAATGACTCCACATGAATGGGGGGGATGCGCAGGTGTCGCTGCTGTGGAATACAAAATATGTAATTATTTTTGATGAGATAATGGTGGTAAATGGGATTGCTGATAATGCAGAATTTTATATTGATATCACGAACTGCACTAAATCATCAATTAACTGATTTTATTATTCTATTATGGGAATGTATTATTTTTTACTGACATCCTGACACCCCCTTAGCAACATAATTTGGAGTTCTGCTTTCCCCCCGCCCCCCCCCTCACACTTACGTGATTCGGAGAGGGCAATGTGTTGGCGGCACCTGAGGCCATTTTTCTTGTGGCTCCAAAGATACCCTACGAGAGCGAGAACTTGCGACGGAAATGCTTACACATCCGTTTTGCAAATTTTGCAAATTTTTGTTATTGTTGTTTTGCTTGTTTTTGTTCCTGTTATTTGTCTTCTTTGCCGTCTACTTTTTATTCACTGTTTGAACAACTAGAAAAAAAGGAGCAAAAAAATGGACAGAGTGTGGGGAGTGGGGGTGCGGGGCAACACAGGAATTACCAAAATCAACACAAACACAAAGAAAGCGCTCGCCGGATTTATAATGGCAAAGTAAACAGCTTACGAATCGCGCGCGACTTTTCTCGTTGCTTTTTTTTTGTTTTTTGTTTTGTATTTTCGCCTGGTTTCTTCCTTCGCGTTGGTTTTGTTTTTGCGCGCGCTTTTTTCAAACGACGACGCGTCTTTCGGTGAGGAGGAGGAGGAGTGCCGTGCCGCCTCTGTGGTGGTCTTCGCTTTGGCAAGGAGAGTTGTGCGCGTTCTACGCCAGCCGAACGCAGAATGCTGGCGACAGCGGCGCAGGCAGCGGCTTTTATACGCGAACAACACGGCAGCTTCGGCTCCAGCTTGAAGCTCAGCTCGGCTCGGCACTCGGCATTCGGTACTCGGTTTAGCACATGTCCGATGCCATCGACATACAGGCATCAGTGGAGAGGCGGAGTGTATATCCATCCCGTTGGAGGTATATTGCGCGACGAGGTAAGGCTAGGCCTGGGATGTCTTATTGCTATGATGTCTCACCTGCAGCTTAATAAACCCTTGGCCCGTGTGGGAAGTGGGCTTGGTGGGTACGATGGTGTGCTGGCATATTTGCTTTATGAATGTGTTTTCCCGAAAACTTTAGCGGGTGAGGGGGAGACAGGGAGACAGCAGTAGATGATGCTGCGTGCGAAAGTGCCAACACTCGGCAGCAACAACTACAACTTAGACTACAACAGCCACTGGCACAGCCACAGCCAATGCACTATGGGAAATTTGACCACTTTATCAGGCCAAAATTAATAACTCAAGAACGGAGCAAGATAATTCGCTTCTTTTTTTTGCATCGGGTTATATTAACCAACATCTATTAGAAATAGAAAAATGGAGGGCACTGCCCCTTTTTTTTAACTCATTTAAATTTTCTCATTTTTTTAGAGTACTATTTTAACAAGAAACAACCATTTTTGTGACAGTATTATATAATCAGTTTTAAGTAAGAAAGTAATATAAAGCGCATTCATCTTGTAGCCCTGTAATGAAAGACAATTAATAATGTATTGTAAGAAATATATTTTCCTTACACACCTCTTAGAAAAAGACCTGCTCTTCGTTTTCCAATTCAATATTGTATTTATGTTCTAAGACTAATTCATTAAAAGGACTTTCATCTTAACGCTGCGTGCTGCTATCCGGATTTGATGAGCATTCTTATAGATTTAAAACCTCTAATGGAAGACACATTCTCCTCTGTCGCTGAATACGTCTATCCAAATTCACTGAAGAAATAATCCGATCAGAAGTATCTATAGCTCGCAGAAACACGTCTGTTAGGTTTTCAATCCTACCGCATTTTCTTGCATGATGCAGACGATCAGATTTGTAAAATTTATTTCGAGATTCAGCTCCTTCTTCTCCGAAATATCCAATAGGAAGCATAGAATTTTCAATGATATCCCTTGCGTGAATTAAAATTTTATGAACACTTGCAGTCATTGGCAGCTAAGGGTATTTATCAATGATTATCTCGGCAATACGATAGCAAAATGCTTGAAATTTTGGAACATAAATTTGCAGCTGGCATGAAAGGCATATCAAAATCGTATGTATGTAAATGTAACAAGCTGCTCATCGATGCCAGTGATGTTGGAAAAAGCATAAGGGTCGGAAAATGCTCGCCGAGCTGTGTTACTATCATTGGTACTGCCAAATCCTCCAACTTTCGGTTGTTCGACTTTCAACGAAAGGTGTTCCCAAAATAGGCCTTGGACTTCTTTTTTTCGCTAAAGAACCTCTTTCTTACCCACAAAGCATCCTCCTTCGCGACTTTTCCCCTTGCTACGTACCACTTGCCAAAAAAATCGGAGTTTGCCAAATGGAGGTTATGTCCTAAAAATTAAAATTTCGCGCAAAATCGTAAAAAGTGTTATTTTTAATTACATTCATTTGAACAAGAACTTAATACTCTACAATATACAATACATCTAATACATCTTGTTGATGGACTCTGCTGGACTCACTTTAAATCCCTTTTGCAATATGAGACTTTATCAAAAATATGCATTACAAGACTACTTACATTTTGATTCTATTAAGGGGACAAAAGTCAAAAGTTCACAAACACATAATGAAAACCACACTGATTGGAATTCATTTCAAAAATTTGAGTAATATTGTTTAGTTTTTGTTTTTTTACCACTTAAAGTTGGAAAAAAAAACTAAATATTGCAGAAGAATTTGCTTTGCAAATGAAAAAGCTGTGTTTATCAACTGATTCCTACGTTGTGGCGCCCTCTATCAAGATTTCTGTGATGCATTGTGAATGCGTTGCACTAAAACTTGTTTTAATTTTCCGACTTTCAGAAAATGGGGTTTGGACAGAAAAAGGGGTCAAATTTCCCATAGTGCAATGCCTACAATTTGAACTGTAAGCCAGCCCAACAGCTCAATTAACTGTCTGTCCGGGGTCCATGACAGTGTTTGTTTGACTTACTCGTACGCATAATTTCCATTATTTTTGGCCATTACAAGGATATAACGGCAATTGCAAATGATTAATATTATTTAGCCCGTAAGTGTGTCATGTCTGTTTCCTACCCCACCCATCCCCCACCGCTCTTCCTTACCCCACTGCGTATCAGGTAAATGCAAATATGAAAAATGCATTGCAATGTTGCTTGCATTGTCAGTGGCTCAATTATTCATGCAATCCTGCACCCTGCTGCATAATGCCTGTCTGTACATGTGACTCTCTGTGGCTGTGTGTGACTCTGTGACTTTTTTTTTGTATTCAGGTTTTATTTAATAACTTACTTAACTATTTATCTAAACTATACAACTATGTAGATGGTGGCGATTGTAGGAAGAAGGGGCGATGCTGTACGGTACCGCCGCAAAGCATTGCTTCGCACAGCCGCTCCTCCTTAATCCACCGTCGCTCTCCTTTCTCTTTCTGATACTCGGAGCTCCCGCATGATGCCAGCAGCAAACTGCGCTGTTGCGTCCCATGCCTTAGGGTCCGAGAGCATCAGGCGGACTAGTCCCTCTGCGCTGACTCTGGTACCTAGTGCCACCTCCAGCCTATGCCTCTCGTGCGTGAAGCGATGGCACTCGAAAAAGACGTGGTGGGCGTCCTCCTCTATGCCTCGGCCGCATGCTGGGCACCAGTCTTCGGTTTCATGCCCAAAGCGCTTCAGGTATGACCGGAAGCAGCCGTGACCGCTGAGGATTTGGGTCAGGTGGAAGTCAACCTGCCCGTGCTTCCGATCTATCCACGTCTTAAGGTCGGGAATCAATTTATGGGTCCAGCGACCTTTCGTTGAGGAGTCCCACTTCGCCTGCCATCTGCGGATGCTCTCCTGCCTTCGTGCTTCCTTCGCCTCTCTCGTATCGACCTGTCCTGCTAGGGTCAGCTCATGCGCCGCTGCTCTTTCCCTTGCCTGCTCCACAATCGGGATCAGACCCGCAATGACAAGGGCTGCGTCGTCGGAGACCGTTTTAAACGCGCAGGCAATCCTGATGGCGCAGAGTCGATGCGTTGCCTCGGCACCTCGCATGTAGCTGGAGGCGTTCGTCGCCTTAAGCCACGCCGGTGCAGCGTATAGCAGCTGGGATGAGATGACGCTCGTGATGAGCTTCCTCCTCTCCTGTTTGGGTCCCCTGGTATTGAGCAGAATGCGCGATAGGGCTCGGCATGTCTGTGCTGCCTTTGCATTGGCGTACTCCATGTGCTCCCTGAAGGAGAGCCTGGTGTCCAGCATCACCCCTAAATACTTTAGGGCCCTTTGTGATGTGATTTGGTGGCCACCTACCATCACTTTGGCCGACTCCACCTTCTTCCTGCTGCTGAACAAGACGGCCTCCGTCTTGTGCGCTGCCAGCTGCAGTCCCGCTAGGTCGAGCCACGTCTCCACGGCTTGGATAGCCTCGTTGGCCGCTGCTTCCGTTGCTACGAGGTCCTTGGCCACTACTGCGATGGCCGCATCGTCGGCGAACCCTACTATCGTATTGCCTTCTGGTAGGTTCAGTCGGAGGACTCCATCGTACATCGTGTTCCACAGGAGCGGCCCTAGCACTGATCCCTGGGGCACTCCGGCGGAGACTTCGTACCTCTTCGTTCCCTCGCTCGTCTCGTACGACAACACCCGGTCGCTGAGGTAGCTGTCTATCACGCAGAGGAGATAGTCCGGTATGCCTACCGTCCATAGCGCCTCCAGCGTTCTTGCCCAGCTTGCCGTGTTAAACGCATTCTTGATGTCCAGGGTGACCAGCAAGCAATACTGCTTACTGCCTCCTTTCCATCGTGTGCCGCTGATGGCTCTCTCCGCTATGGTCACAATCTTGTCGATGGCGTCCAGCGTCGACCTGCCTTTGCGGAAGCCGTACTGGTTTGCCGATAGGCCTCCCGATTCTTCAATGGCTCGATTAAGCCTGCGTGCTATAAGCCTTTCGCACACCTTACCGACGCTGTCCAGTAGGCAGATTGGTCGGTATGACGAAGGCTCTCCTGGTGGCTTACCTGGCTTGTTTAGCAGCAGCAGTTTCTGCCTCTTCCACCTGGATGGGAAGGTACCTTCTTCGAGGCACTTGTTGAAGACCTCCACGAAGGCAGATGGCTGTAGTGCTAGTGCCACTTTCAGCGCTCGGTTTGGGATTGCGTCGGGGCCAGGGGCTTTTTTCCTGTGTAGGCTCCTCCCGGCTTCCAGCACCTCTTCTTCCGTGACCTTCACTATGCCCGTGAACGGACCAGGGCGTATCCTCGGTCTTAGCCCCGTACGCTGCGCGCTTGGGAATAATGCGTGCACTATGGCCTCGAGCGCGTCGGGTTCAGTTGGCGCCTTGCTCCCTGCACAGAGCTTCTTCGCCACGAGCTTATAGGCCCTGCCCCAGGGGTCTTTATCCGCCGAGTCGCAGAGCTTGAGGAAACATTCGCGTTTGCTGCTTCGTATCGCCTTTTTCAGGGCTTTCCTGGCGGACCCGTACTCTTCCTGTGCCGAGTCGAGTCGGGCCGTACGTCTCGCTCTCTGCGTTGCTCGCCTGGCCTTCATGCACATTGTCCGGAGTCGTGCGATTTCCGGGGTCCACCAGGCAATCGGCTCGTGGTGCCTCGTGAACGGCTTACGCTGCCTCATGCTCGAGTCGCAGGCCTCCTCCATTCTCGTGGCGAGAAGGTTGGCTGCCTCGTTGGCGCTTGCATCAAGTGTGGCATGCCACGACTGCAGGCATCTGGCGATCGCTCTGGTGTCGAGCGTGTCCTCGATGTAGGCCTTGCTCCTGCAGTATGTTCTGCTAGGTCTGAGGCGCTCTCCGATGGTGCACAGTATGGCTTCGTGGTCGCTTCCTGTGTACACATTTGCCATTTGCCACCTAGCTTCGCGTGAGAGCGACGGGCTCGAGAACGTGAGGTCTATGATGGAGCCTCCGCTCGCCCTGCTGAATGTTTGCTGGGTGCCTTCGTTCAGCAAAGCTAGGTCCAGCGATGCAAACGCTTCCAATAGGGAACGGCCTCTTGCGTTGGTGGATTGGCAGCCCCACTCCTGTGCCCACGCATTGAAATCCCCGGCGATCAGTACGTTTGTACGGCTCCGTGCATCGTCGACAATTTCCTCGATGATCCGGTTGAAGGAATCGAGGGGTAGACTGGGCGCTAGATAGCAGCTGTAGGTCCACAAGTTCCCAACTTTCGCACGCACGTACCCGTTTCCTGTCTTGATGTTGCAGAGCTTGGGGGGGTCGCTTCCGCAGGCCCACAGGGATGCCTTCCCAGACGAGTCTGAGGCCCAGTGCCCGGTGTCGCACGCTTTGTATGGTTCGCTAAGCATGTCGCTACCGCATGTCGGTCTGGCGTTTCCGACCCCGCTACTTAGGGCTGGACAGCTTCTGCTGCCGGCCTGATGCCTGACCTCCTTCCTACCAGCTGTCGAGCAGATGAAGCACAGTGGCTCGTTGCTGCACTCTGCTGCCTTGTGTCCCTGTTGTCCGCATTTAATGCAGCATCCGCTCCGGTCAACCGTGCTCTTGCAGTTGCTTGCAATATGCCCTGGCTCCAAGCATCTGAAGCACCTTGGGGGGCCTCCTCTTTCCCGTATCTTGCAGACGGTCCAGCCGATCCGCACCTCACCGCACTGTATAACTGCTTTGCCCATGGAGAAGGGTAAGCTGATCACTGCCGTCTGTGACTCTCATAGCCACGGCGTAGTCTCCTCACTCTGACTCGTCCTCGTCAATACCAAACTGGCTCGCGAGGGCGGCGCAGATCTCACGCTCCGTCGCGAGGGAGTCGAGATCGCGTATCTCCAGCACGGCCACCTTGTTGTCCTCCGTCGCCGCCCGCACTGACGCAGCGTCACCGAGGACCCGCGCGATGCTCTCTCTCATGGACTCAGCGCTCTCAGCACTGCCTTTAGCCACCTCCAGCAGAAGGTTGCCGTTTTGTGTACGGCGTACCTTTGTAACGCAGCTCCCCAGGTCCGACAGCTGCTTGTCCTCCCTCCTAGTCACCATTGCCAGCACCATTGCCAGACTCTGTGACTGTGGGTGTGTGTGTGCAACTGCATTGGTGTATTCTCTTGTAAAATACACTAGTGAAATGAGCATCAGCAGCTGGTAAGTTACATGTAAACAGGTTAAGGGATAAAGTTCATCACATGTAAATGGATATGTCTGATTAATGGCAAACACTCGTACATATATACGGTACAAATACACACACACACTCACACCCAATGCACATACATATAACGGCTCCTACGAGAATTGCTGCAGGATATGCAGAGCAGGAGGCTAATATAATTTTGACGCAAAGCGTAGCCCTTGGGGCATATTTCAGCTATCAAAATTAATAACTTCTAAACGAAAAGATTAAAAAAAAAGAGTACATTTCATTTTGAATAAAAGCTTTAACTTTGTGGCTTGAACTTGTGCTGCAATGCAGATGCCGCTGCATTTTTGACTATGTAAAATTCGAAACATTTTATTTTTTCAGCTTTAAAAATTGTTGCGTAGTTGTTGTGTAGTTAAAACTTAACGTCTAGGCAATGTCAAGCTTTCATTTCGGCCAAAATATATTTAACCTGACGTGTTAAACTTTATTCGATTGGGCTATTAAGCGGCGCTTATTAGGCAGCTTTCAAAAATCTATTAATAAACGGTTAGGCAGCAGCCGTTTGATCAACTCTCCCACACAAAATGTGGAGTATTGTTGGTTAAAAAAGAACGACTCACTAAGTGGTAGACCGATAAAAGTAAGAACTACATTGAGGCAGGGATGCATTTTGGCAAAACTTCTAGCACGATGCGGCAAGGATTAATCTATTTTAAAAGAGCGAAAACATTTTTTGAGATTATTAAGAACACTTTACTCAGTGCCAGATCATTGTGGCACGAGCACTTAATCTTATTCTAATTTAAGGTAGCAAAACAATGTTTTTTTTTAATTTTAAGATACGTATAAGAGATAAATATACATACACTTCTAAGATATGACAAATATTGCTCTCCCCAATGTACATACATTTATGTACATATGTGCATATGTACATATGTATGTTTCCACCTGACAACAATTTGCCTTGACAATTTGCCGGATTGGGTTTGGGTGGGTTTTCGGCAATGGCCTTTGAACTGGCCCACTCCACATTCTGCACCCAAGTCAGCCTTATCTTTGGGATTGCATTCCATTTCGGCCACAGTCTGCTCTTCGCCCAGTCCAGTCACCAGGGTTACGTATCCTCGGTGAATGGTGCCCGGCGCCAAGTCACATAACGGCGTACCAGCTGCAGACCATCCATCGATTGTGCTGGCAGTTAAATGTTGATTAAATGTACGAATATAACTTGCAACTTGATAGTTTTCTTCATGCTAAATATTTCTAGTTCATCTGGATGAAGTAGCAGCAGTTGTAAATTTTACAAGAGAATGGAAGGAAATAGAGTCCTCCCAAGACACCAAATCTTGGGAGATCGAACTCTCGTGGGTTTCCCACACTGCCTTTTGCCATCAACCCATGTCCGCACATACGACAGCTCAAGTTCAAGCCTTCAAGCCTTCCTTCAAGCTTTACCACACATCGAACAACTTTGTTCTTCGAGTTACTTTTCTTTATACACAAAAGATTCATCGATAAAGGCGCAATACACATAAGTCAAAAGTATTCGAAGCTTAATTAGATCAATGGATTATTTGTATTCAAAATTACGCACTCGTTTCAGTATGGTATTGGTACATGGTAAGAATATGGTAATATGTTTCTTCAGCTGCTGGTGTCTGTCACTATATGTGGGACATACATATGTATGTATTTGGAATAGTCTAAGGAATCTTCGTCTCTGGAAAGCGCTCACTTCCTTCCGTACATCTAAAGAATTTATTCAGTATATTCAGGGAATGTTGTGTACTTGTTGAGTCCCATGTCTACACGCTTGTGTATGTATAATATGTAAAATATATGTAAATGTACATATGTAAATATGTATGGCAATTTTCGTTCGCAACTTCAGCAACTACACCTAACGGGGTAATCACCTGATTTCGGGTAAAGCTCACGCATAGCTTCCACAGCAGATCTGATCCGATTCGATCCGAAGTCTGGCTTAAGCTTAGCTCTTCATGGGAGCTTTCGTTAGCGACTCTCAGAGTACGCCACACAAACTTCTCTCTTATCTTCTCCCTTATCTCACTTCTAGTAGGGAAATTAAGTGTACAAGATGCTCGCTGTGGGGGCTATGCAGTCACAACTGGCCCACTGCAAGCGGCGGTGATGGTTTCGGCTGAATACAGATGTAAATATAATAAATTGATAAGTAAATACAAACCAATAAATACTTTTTGGGAATGGTGCAGGCTTTGCGTCGTCATCAGATATCCAACAACAACAAAATGTGAGTGTGCCAAAAATGCCTGCAATTAATCAAATAAATATAAAGAAACAATATAAACAAATACAAGAGAAAAGTTCTGAAATTCGCATGTGCAAGCGTCTGTCTGCATACTCGACTCGACGGTGTACATTTGCGAGTGACGTCACTTTTTAATATTTTGTGCGTTTTGCTTTTTTCTTTCTTTTTTTTTTGTAGGGCAGAAAATAGAGGGAAGATGCAGAGAGTTGAGTTTCTGTCCTCCGACGGCGAAATCATTATCATTGATAGGAGAGTCGCCAATCGATTTGAACGGCTCAAAGATTTCCTGGTGGCGCATGCTTTTCTGTACTTTCCGAATACAAGATCTTTAATTTTGCGCAAAGTGCTGACCTGGTCATTCTACCACAAGAACGATCCCGGGCCCAAAACCGATGGCGAAAGCACTTTGTGGTACACAGAATTTTTCGATGTGGATCAGGGCGTTCTACTGGAACTGATGGAGACAGCCGAGCTGCTGGACCTGAAGAGTCTATCCAACAAAGCGCGGGAGCTAAGAATGATTGAATAACTCTGAATAGTTTTCGACGATTTAAATTTGTTTATACATACATATGTATACAGATGTACATAGGGGAGCTAATTGCAGACGCTGCAAATCAAATATAAAATTATGTTTACTTATTCCAATTGTTTGTAATTGGAACCCAAAAACCAAATGGTTCTGAAGATAAGTTTATTTTGTATTATTGCATATTGCATTACATATATTATGTGCATATATTATACTTATGTATACTTATGTATATTATACCTAAGCAATAATAAATATGAAAATGAAAATCCATCAAAGGATGGACTGCACAAATTTCAGCGCTGCATTAAAATCAAAACTATTTATTCAATTTTTCCTGGCATATTTTATTCGAGAATATCATCGTACAAAAGCAACCCACTAGACCAGCCACTAGAGACATCATTTGTTGATCAACTCAGAGCCATATGACATCAGACATTAGACTTAGACAATTTTGCTGCGTAGAGAGGGATAGCACTAGAGACAAAATGCAACATTATTATTCGTAGCCGTCCCTAGACACGTCTAATGGCTTTTAGTAGATCAACTGAGGCACTACTGGACACACAATGATGTTTTCCAGCAAGCCTTCTGCTGAACATAATTAATTCTAAAACATCCATCTAGCAATAAAAAATGTATTATTCACAAATTGAATGTGCAATTTTAGCCCAGCGATTTAATTGATGGTGGAAACAATCGACGCTCGGTTCTATTTGCAACCATCGATATTATCGATAGTGCTATTGACTTTTGTTCACAATCAACCCTAATATAAATGTGCGTATACGCACAGCACATTTTGCATTCTACTTTGAATTTAATAGTATTTCCGCACACGAATCATATAAAAAATGAACAATCAATGCCGATCCTGTGGGTCTGCCATCTACAACACCAAAGGCAGGAACCTGTTCCAGCGGCAGAACGCTGAACTGTTGTCGAACATCGATTTGGTGACTGGGGTATAGGTATGTTCGATCTAATAACTAATAAGGAGCCACAAATGATTTCCAGCTAATGTCCCAATGCAATCATTGCAAAACGTAGTTCAAACAGGATCGGCAGCTACCCAGCTGCATTTGTGCCTCTTGTGCGGAATATGTAAATCGCGCAGTCGCATTCCGTGCACGCTTCATCCAGAATCAAGAGAACTTTCTGCAACGTCGCACGGGATCTGGAGATCCCCTCTGCTCTGGACGAGGAGCTAAAAGGCAGATTTGATTTCGACGAACCTGACGCTCATGAGACGGCGCAGGTTGCCGATTTGCTTATAACTAGTCTGCAAAAGGATCTAGCATACGGCAACCAGAGCAGTGACACCGAAAATATCAACGAGTCTCCGAAACGCTTGAGCAAGAAGTCCACCACCAAGTCCAAATCCAATCGATCCACTCCTCTGACTTCTATCAATGTTGATCAATTGACCAACAGCAATCCGTTGCCAGTCGCAAATAACAAGCCATTTGAATGCGAGTAAGTATGAACCGAGATCAACAGCAACCAACGATCGATCAACCATTCCCTCTAGGTTTTGCGGCAAAGACTTTAAGAATCCCTCAAAGCTGACTCGCCACTTGCCAGCGCATACGGGCGAGAGAGCATTCAAGTGTCAGTACTGCGACCGATCGTTTACGACTCGGGGAAACAACATCCGGCATGAGAGGTGAGAGGCCAAAGGCCTGTTGTATCTTGCAGAACTCATACAAGGGAAGGGGCCTTTCCCTGCGCCACTTGCGGCATGTCCTTCTCCCATGCTTTCGTGCTGAAGAAACATATTAATATGAACCATACTGAAACGAGTGCGTATCTTTGAGTACAAATAATCCATTGATCCATTTAAGCTTCGATTACTTCTGACTTAAGCGTATTGCGCCTTTATTGATGAATCTTTTGTGTATAAATAAAAGAAACTCCAAGAACTAAGTTTTTCGATGCGTGCCCCCTCGCTGCAGGCCCAGCAGACAGAGCTTGAAGATCGTTTACTTGAGCTATCTACGTGGACCCGTTTATTGTCCAGTGTGTTGTCCATGTGCTGCCACAGCACTATGGGGAAAATTCCAATTTTTCGGGTATTAATTAATAACATTTAAACTTTTAAACAAGCAAGCAAGTTATGTACACCCCTAGAAACCTTTTTGGAAAAGTAGGCGTGTTACCGCCCACAAATTAAAAAAAAAAAATATTTTTTTTAATAATATTAAAAATTGGAATATCTTTATTAATATTTATTGACTATAATACTCCTTTATACATAAAAATAAAGTTTTACTTTTGGAAAAACTTCATTTTTATGAAATTCAGGAGCTAAAGAAACAATAGTTAATATTAATAGAAATTTTCTTAGTTTTTTTCTTAATTCATCTTCGAAATCCTCAAAAGTTTGATATAGGCCTTCAATTTCACATAATAAGAGGATTTAAAAATCGATGGGAAGGGCAAGGCCTTTATGCTTGCTGCTTGAATCAACAAAGAGACATTGCCCTTGAGTTTTTGATAGAGCTGCTGCTTGTTTTTTTAGCTCCTACCCCTTTAACAAGTAAGCCAACTTTGGATGACCAATTTGTCGATTATTGTTCCTACTTGAGTCGCTTTTGTATTATTTTGTTGTGCTCATTAACCAATTTTAATGCTTTTTTATACCCGTACTCAAAAAAGAGTTAAGGGGTATATTAGATTTGTGGTAAAAGTGGATGTGTGTAACGCAGAGAAGGAAAATTTTCCGACCCCATAAAGTATATATATTCTTGATCAGCATCAATAGCCGAGTCGATAGAGCCATGACTGTCTGTCCGTCTGTCTGTCTGTCCGTCTTGTTGAGCGCCTAGATCTCAGAGACTATAAGAGCTAGGGCAACCAAATTTGGTTTCCAGACTCATGTGATATCCCACTGCTACAAGTGTATTTCAAAATTTCGCCCCGCCCCCTTCCGCCCCCACAAAGAACGAAAATCTGTGGCAGGCACATTTTTAAAGATACGATAAAACTAAAAACGCAGTATCGTAGAGAATGACCATATCTACCAGACTGCTGAATCTGAATCAGATCGGATCATAATTATAGCCAGAATGAAGAAATTAATTTTCAGTTGCTCCCGCCAACGACAACACAACTCATTTTCCTTCTCGCTCGCACACTCTGCAGCGTTCAGTGCGCGAGCAACCCCTAGCGGAGGAGATGTAGAATATGAATGGAACATGTACAATCTACATGTTAGATGTAGAATAGACATTGTATATGTAGATAGCAGATGTAGCAAAAAAAAGTGAAATGTAAAATTTTTTTTTCTAAAATTCTAAAAAATCATAAGCTCAATAATGTATATACTGACTGAGTACGGGTATAAGTAGAGTCGTGTCTCCAGAAACGACTCACACGTTCCTTCTCGTTCAAAATATTTTTTGTTCCGCATGCATTTTTTCCATTTGGCATTCAAGTTTCGGCACACAATTTGACTTTTACTCTTTAAAGCACATGTTTTAAAACATGAATGTTTTTATTAAATCTCTTCTTAAAAAAAAATGCATTTGCCTTTTTCCTTGCGCCATACATCAAACAGCTGCGCGTTTGAAAACTCGAAGTCCGCTGCAAAAAATTTATTTGCGCAGATAGTGCGCAAAAGTGTGCATTGAGACAAACTGCCTGTTGAGCTACTGAGCTTCTTCAGTAGCGTTGTATTGCGATATTATTAAAAAGGCGATGATTGTTCAATATATATATTCACAGTTTATTGTGGTGAAGTAAATAAGCGATACAGAGTCGAAAGGATAGTTAGCTGGATTCAAGACGGGGTCAGATTGAAGACGCGGGGGTCGGTTCAAGACGGTGTCGGATTGAATAGCTCGATTCCAAGACGATGCGCAGTGATTGCAAGATCAAGACTAATTCAAAGGGCAGGCGGGCCGAATTGCCTGTGCCCTAATGCGAGCGAGAGAGCGACAGATCGAGAGAGTGATAGCGAAAGGCGATAGAAAGAAAGGTGTGGGATGAAGAGGCGAAAGAGAACGGCTGCATAGGCTGCTGCCGTGAGGGAGCATGAATGCGTGCATGAGTTTGTAGGTAAATGACAATTTAGTACAGTGGGCAGTGCAAACAACGAACAATAATAAGGATTTACTCTACTGCTGCACCACTGGCTATAATCTATGCATTTGGCCACTATTTGGCTGCGTAACCAAACATACTCCCCCGTTGAAGATCACGGGTCTTTAACAAACTTCCTTCAACAGCATACAGGGTTCAGCAGACAAAGCTTGTTGTTGATGGGGCCGTTCTTCCTTCCGTCGATACCTGTAGATTCGCTGCAAGAAAGCAACGCGTTGTCCGACATCTAATCGGTTGAAGTTGAGCCATGTCATGTGATGCTCAGCGACAGAATAAGAAGAGGCGAAAAAGAATAGCGCATTCAAACCAAGCACTGGAAGTGATGTTTCCAGATCAGCATGATTTCCTGAAATGACTGAGGGATTAGCAATTTCTGCCCTCCCCCCAATAGGCCAATGTCGGGATGGTCTTTGGCCCAGCACAGCTTGAGGTCCAGCGCGATGCCCAGAATTACGTCCGCCAGCAGAGAGCGTGGGTTCGTTCGGATGAACATCGGCCGGAACGAAGCGTTTGCAGAGAACCCACAAGGCCTGAAGATCCGTAAACGAGGTCGTAGGCTGAGCAGGAACCACATTCGACGCAAGTCCACCTGTGTTGATGCAATCGAGGCCGCCTTCTAACTTTGAATAGGATTCCTCGTCTCCTGCTCCACCATGAAGAGCCGGCACAAGAAACGGATGCTTCGATTGGTATTGATTTCTGTCGGTCAGTCCGATTGGCTCCAAAATCGCGCACGAATCCACTTGAAATGGGGCCGGTGTGATTCCGTGACCATACGCAGGATGCGGAGTTACGGAAGTGGACCGCTTAGTGATCTCTCCGAGAATGATCCCATTGAGCGTCACAAACAGCTCCTCAAAGTCATCGGCGAGTTCACTCCCAATCTCGTCGAAGTCCAGCTTCTCGAGTTCACTGTGCACGGTTTTAAAAGTGCCGTGCAGCTCCTCGATTTGCTTCAACCTGCCAACGAGCATGAAGTGGTCGAATAGGGAAGCGTTCTTCAAGACAACTTTTAGCTGCTTCATCCGTTCAAATAACGCTGGTGCTTTCCGCTTTAGGAAAGCCACATTGTTTCCATCAGCGGTCACTCGCACCCATTTCTGCACAGTCGCTAGAAAACGTTCCTAGCGGGAAGATGACCGCAAAGAAGAACGAACGCTAGCAGTAAATGCAGCAAGAACCGCAAGCAGATCGCAAAGCAGACGACGCGAGCACCGTTTTTGTTGCTTGTGCACAGCCGAATACCGAAAAAACCGTGGTTCAATGCGAATTAAAAGAACGACAAATGTTATTGTTTTTTGTGATAAAATTTAACGAGTTAATGTTTATATCACGTCGGGGTCACCAAATGTTGAGCTACTGAGCTTCTTCAGTTGCGTTGTATTGCGATATTATTAAAAAGGCGATGATTGTTCAATATATATATTCACAGTATATTGTGGTGAAGTAAATAAGCGATACAGAGTCGAAAGGATAGTTAGCTGGATTCAAGACGGGGTCAGATTGAAGACGCGGGGGTCGGATCAAGACGGTGTCGGATTGAATAGCTCGATTCCAAGACGATGCGCAGTGATTGCAAGATCAAGACTAATTTAAAGGGCAGGCGGGCCGAATTGCCTGTGCCCTAATGCGAGCGAGAGAGCGACAGATCGAGAGAGTGATAGCGAAAGGCGATAGAAAGAAAGGTGTGGTGAAGATGAAGAGGCGAAAGAGAACGGCTGCATAGGCTGCTGCCGTGAGGGAGCATGAATGCGTGCATGAGTTTGTAGGTAAATGACAATTTAGTACAGTGGGCAGTGCAAACAACGAACAATAATAAGGATTTACTCTACTGCTGCACCACTGGCTATAATCTATGCATTTGGCCACTATTTGGCTGCGTAACCAAACACTGCCTTTAAATCAAAATTATTAGCTCTACGACATACAATTGGACGTACACTTATCAACCCTTCTGGTTTTTATACCCGTACTCAAAAAAGAGTTAAGGGGTATATTAGATTTGTGGTAAAAGTGGATGTGTGTAACGTAGAGAAGGAAAATTTTCCGACCCCATAAAGTATACATATATCTTCTTGATCAGCATCAATAGCCGAGTCGACATGTCTGTCTGTCCGACCGTCCGTCCGTCCGTCTTGTTGAGCGCCTGGATCTCAGAGACTATAAGAGTTAGGGTAACCAAATTTGGTTTCCAGACTCATGTGATATCACACTGCTGTATTTCAAAATTTCGCCCCGCCCCCTTCCGCCCCCACAAAGGACGAAAATCTGTGGCAGGCACAATTTTAAAGATACGATAAAAATAAATACGATACGCAGTATCGTAGAAAATGCCCATAACTACCAGATTGCCAAATCTGAATCAGATCGGACTATAATTATAGCCAGAATGAAGAAATTAATTTTCTGTTGCTTCCCCTGCCCCCTCCTGACAACAACAACGCAACTCATTTTCCTTCTCGCTCGCACACTCTGCCGCGTTCAGTGCGCGAGCAACCCCTAGCGGAGGAGATGTAGAATCTAAATGGTACATGTAGAATATACATGTTAGATGTATAATATAAATAGTATATGTAGATGTAGATAACAGATGTAGCAAAAAAATGTAATATGTAAATTTTTTTTTTTTTTTAATTCTAAATAATTATATGCTCAAAAATGTATATGCTGACTGAGTACGGGTATAAGTAGAGTCGCGTCCCCAGAAGCGAC